CATGCAACCTCGAAGGTGAGCAACCTAAAAGGCTCGCTGCAAGACGCACGGCTGCTGAACACTGCCGGCTGATAAGCGCTCTGTTCAGCCTCAGGTTGAAACGCAGGTCAGCCTGAGGCTGAATGAGTTGACAGCCGGTGGCCAGACTCGCTTCCTGTTGCCGCTTAGGACGCGATCCGAGCGGGAGTCCTATCTGCCATCAACCGAGCCGAGCTTGTTCCCATAACCGTAAGGTGAGAAAATATATTAAACTACAATTAGATCTGCCGCTTTGGGCCTCAGGCCAGGCAGCTTCCCTAGGCGTGTAAGGACACTGCATGATCTTGCACCGCCGTCTCGCGTGGCAGTCGCGCTTCCCCAGCCTCGTGGGCGCCAGTGCTTTAGTACTTCGGCGGCTGTAAGCTTCTGACATCTTGTGCGAACGCGCCGCACGCAGCGGACGCATAACGCTGGGTGATTAAACATACTGGGGAGGGGCACATCTGAATGACACTGATCACGTTCCTCAACGGCAGGTGTCATAGACTGGATGTGGGAATCCTGCGCAGTACCGAGCGGCAGAGCAGTCCAGAACCCTCATATGCCTCTATCGCCCCGCCTCTAATTATGCAACGGCAATCGTCGCTTGGGGTCGAAAACAAGCCCAAACTCTTCCACAGCATCGCAGTACGCTGCGTGCCAGCCCACAGCAAAGAGAATGAACATAAGCATACCGTGCGTGCGTCCTTGCGAATCAGTGCCCCAGCTCGAGTGGAAACTGTGTGATTTCCTCCTGCTCAGCTAATTCCTTAACATCAACGGCTACGTAAAAACTCCATTGAGTCAGATATATGCATGACAAGCTATGAAATACACACTTTTGCGGCTGTCCAGAGTCACTGATCTTCTCCTACTTGATTTGCGACGTGATGGAGTTCAACAGCCGTGACCACGAGGCTCTGCCAGCCTCACAACCCGCGACATACAAATGAAACCGCATCCCTGGTACACTGTCCGGTCCAGGCGTCTGCGGCCCGATGCAAAAGGGTAAGGTTTAATGAAGCTGACGTACCTCAATATTGCCAGGCTCTTTCAAGCTGTGTGACAAGAAACAAGCATGAGTTAGGCTACTGGGAGTAAGGAGACAGATGATTGCCTTGTTAGGCCATCTCACCCCGCTTCGCGTTCACCGCCCCCGCCCCGAGCACTTAGACGTCCATAGTCCGCGAAACCGACTCAAACGCAACACAGCTCTTCAACGTGCAGGGTCCCCGACTGCCCCGGTGAACAGGAAGCTGTCATATCAGGCTGCTGTCTCGTGTTACGCATTGGAATTGTTGCACCACATTTAAATCGATAGCGAGTCGAACGAAGCATGTCCGTTGCGGCCTGCTGATATCTGGATTGTGTCAGAGCCTGCCGAGACGGCGACCTTCCGCGCAATGACGGCCGTCTTCCCGCTCCGCGACTCATGAGCAGCGCACAACATAAGAAATACAGAGATGATTCCACGCCGTTGAGAACGGCAGGCCGCAGACACCGCGTTCAGACTGTCATAGCAAAGAATAACACTTTGTTGAAAGAGCCAGCGTCAACTAGTAGAGCGTAGGTCAGATACGCACCGCCACATGGCCAAACTCCCGTGCCGTGTTTCTGGTGCTGAGAATCAACTTGTTCGGGGCCCCTCACCGGAACGTTGTATGGGATGGAGGAAGGAAATAAAAGGAAACGAGCGTGATAAACGAGAGCTGTGTTAAGAGGACCGGCAGCCGTTACAGTTAACTTGTGCTAGGACAGATGCAGCCAACAGCGACTGCATCGCGGACCATCTGCCCGGAAGATCAGCTCGATCCGAAAGTACTCGAGATAGCGATGTACGCACCTGAATTTACGCCCTCCCCCGGCGGTCGTGCGTCGTTTGGAGCACATTATAGACTTTATGCTGATCGCACACAGACAGCTGTCGAGCTGACGCTGCGGCACGAAGACTCCGCTCTCGGAGGCGAACGACGGTGGCGGCCTGCCCGTATGGCTGATCGAATACTTTGAAGTTTCCAGGGGTAGTGCTGATGTTGCAGGTACCACGGACGTGCCAAGCGTAGACTCAGCCGAGCAGCCGAGTACATGGTTCGTGATCTTGCGCGTGACAGGCAAGTTGCAGCCTGAGCGAAGGTCGATCCTAGATGGCGGCGAGAACATAGATGAAAGACGTCGGGTGATGAGGGAAGCCACGGGGCCCTTGCCCTCGCCGCTTGCGGTACCTCCTCCGCAGCTGCACCAGCTCTGGTCTTCTCCGCTGTCGTACTTGCAATGAGATCATATCGATAGTACCCACGGATCGACGCACGGGTGGCGCAACTGCCTCAAGGCAGAGGAGGGAAAAATGGGTTCGAGTTTGTCGAAGTCTGCCTGTAATCCGGGGGCGCATACGCCGAGTTTGATCCTCCACATACTCCTTACTATGCTCCTACAGTCCCCGCAACTCGTGACCAGGCTCGCGAACATAAGTGTCTCAGGTATACTCACGGTTTCGATGCG